GAAATAGAACACAGTAGCTGGCAAAGGCTGAATTTTAGCTGCTTTGGGGTCTAGGCCCAAAACGTCAGCTTTCCTGCTCCTCTGATGCTGTTTGGCCTGCTTTGTTCATCCAGCTCTACACCTTGTTATCTCAGATTCTCCAGCATCTGCAGTTCCTACTATCTCTGTAGCCAGGAACATGTTGTTTTTTCATGCAGAAGACAGAATGGGGGTGGGGTAAGGAGTAAATGATAGATGAAGATAGAACTCAAACAGAGAGAAGAACTGTTGGACGGACAAAGGAGTGGATAACAATCCGGCCAGGAAGGTGAATAGCTATTGAGGGGCACTGTTAGTGGCTAACAATGGGTTGTGTGTGATACCAGTCTATGTGATAACAAGGCCTGGTGTGTGGGTTTGGGGTAAGGACATGGGAGAAACTCTTAAAGTTGTTGAACTCGATATTGAGTCCAGGAGGCTGAAGGGTTCCCAAGCAGAAAATGAAATGCTGTTTTTCCAGCTTGCGCTGAGCTTCACTGGAGCACTGCAGCAAGCCCAGGACAGAGATGTTGGCCAGGGAACAGGGTGGAGTGTCGAAGTGGCAGGTAACTGGAAGCTCAGGGTCTTTTTTGTGGACAATCTGTGAAGTCAATCTGACTGCTGTTCCAACAGGACTTCTGACAGAATTAATCATCTGTGACATGATCAGTGCATAGGGTTTACAACAATAGATTTGTACAAATATATAGTACAATGATTTTGGCAAAGTGCCCAGGGTTAGTATTAGTGTGGATGGGAGATAATGTCAATAGAGGGACAACACTGAGAGAGTAAGTATAAATATAGAAAATCTCCAAATTGATAGAATTAATAACAAATTAAATGCACAATGATAGAATCAGTATAAGCATAGGACTGTAAACAGTGAGAAAATAAAAAAGGTTGAAATATCGTTGCATGAATAACCACTGTTTTCAAACACCTGCATTCAGGTAAAAATGGAAGCACCCATTCAAAATGTCCTCTTTACTGCAAGTTTGCAGAAGTGTTCATGGATTAGGAATCATCTCTACTCTCAGTGATCATAATTTCTTTTATTTCGAAAATATACTTTATTCATAAAAATATCTTTATATTCATACATAGTCATTGAGGCAGTTTGGTTCTGTACTGTAGCATAAGAAGAAACAAATAAACTTTGGAATTTGGCTGTATCCAACAAACAAACCAAAGACATTTCTTACTAATGCAAAATTATATTTACTTATACTTGAGGCACCGGGAGGGTCCAATAACTGAACAGACCCTCATTTAACTTGAGCAGATCTCGGATGCTGGTCTTCCACCACTGTGTCTTGGCAGCAGCTGCCCCAAGCTTTAGTGCGTCCCTCAGCACATGGTCCTGGACCTTGGAATGTGCCAGTCTGCAACACTCAGTCAGGCTTAACTCCTTGCTCTGGAAGACCAACAAGTTTCGGGCAGACCAAAGAGCATCTTTCACCAAGTTGATGGTCCTGCACAGTTGAAGTTTGTCTCGGTGTGCGTCCCGGGAACAGGACGTAGAGTCTGGCATCACGGAGCTGCTCGGGCCGAAGCTCGATAAAAACCGCTGCATCTCTCTCCAGAGTTTCTTTGCAAAGGCACATTAGAGCAGGGGATGTGTGTCAGTCTCTAACCCCTCCCCCCACAGCCACTTTGAGTGCAGCGTGTGGTGGCACAGAGCTGTCAGTAATCATGATGCCACAGCCCGAAACCTGTTGGTCTTTCAGAACAAGGAATTGACCTTGACTGAATGTTGTAGACTGGCACATTCCATGGTCCAGAACCTAGGACGTATCCCAGGACTGTTTCTTCAGTGAAAGTAACACAAGTCTCTGAGCAGACCTTTCTATATGAAATTCCTCAAATTGCCTCATTCTTACATCATACCAACAGTTACAATTCCTAGCTATGAAATAATTTCTGGATAACTAACGTATTCATATCCTTCTTTCCACAGGTGCAAGATTTTGGTTTACAACATCTCTTTGGAATGAGGAGTTTACGATTTCTTTCATTAGCAGGTGATTAATTTCGTTTTTATTGAACATTCGGATTTATGGCCATTTACCAAAAGGAACTTTATTCCCTAATTTTTATTCAGGTGACCTAACATTTTTAAAAAAAAGCATATTTGAATTCTTCATGTGAGGAATGACCATGTGAGAAAATAACTGCTAAATCCCATATAGAATGTATTAGACGTGGACTTTATATCCCTGGATTTCTGTGATGTGACTACAACTTAGAAATGCAGAGTGTAATGTATCAGTGTGTTGGTAATGGAGGGGAATGTCCTCAGTATATGTGGGGGAAGGAGCTCCTGACAGCAAACACGAATGCAGACACCTGCACGAGGCTCTTGGGATTTTGAAGTTCCAAACCTATTACAAAATAGTTGATGAATTGGCTGGCTGATCGCAGGCAGTCAATAAGACATTCTGACCACGGTTACTTGTGGACGTTGTGGCCTGATATACTGACAGGCTGTGTGTGTGTGTGTGTGTGTGTGTGTGTGTGTGTATTATACAGCTTTTAGGTGATTGCTGCGGAAATTGAGGATTTGGTCAGTGTAGGTTACCTTCCTGTATACTGTGGTTTGGAACTCCCCGTTGGTCATTCGTTCTACTCTTGATGTCTATGAACGGAAGTTGATTGTTGTTTTCCTTGTCTCTTGTGAATTTGATCCCGGTGAATATGTTGTTGATGAGATGGTGTGCCACAGCAATCACCCCAATGTCCACCAATAAAGCTGTTTTGGGACACTATTCAAACAGGCTGCAACCCACTGCAACATACCGGAACTTTGCAAGAAGGAGGAAAAGCACCTATACAAGGTAGCAGGAACTGCAGATGCTGGAGAATCTGAGATAACAAGGTACAGAGCTGGATGAACACAGCAGGCCAAGCAGCATCAGAGGAACAGGAAGGCTGACGTTTCGGGCCTAGACCCTTCCTCAGATTTTTTTCTGAAGAAGGGTCTAGGCCCGAAATGTCAGCCTTCCTGCTCCTCTGACGCTGCTTGGCCTGCTGTGTTCATCCAGCTCTGCACCTTGTTATCTCACCTATACAAGGTCTTCGCTATCAATGGATACCCCACCAACTTCATCCGCGGGTGCCTACTAGATAGACAACACCAAGGGACACAATACACCCTAATACATTGGCCGCACTACCGTATGTCAAGAACACATCGGAACTGACAATGAGACTCCTACAACCACTAGGCATCAGGATAGCACACAAACACACAGCCACAGTACGACAAACACTCACAAGGGCCAAAGACCCCATACCCACGACATGCAGAAACCAACATAGTTTACAAAATACTGCGCAAGGACTGCCAAAAACATTACATTGGCCAGACAGGAAGGAAACTAGCCATCAGGATGCACAAGCACTAGCTGACAGCAAAACAACACGATGGACTTTCCCTCATCTTAGTGCACTTGGACACTGAAGGCCATCAATCTAACTGGGACTATCCTAGCTCAAGCCAACGTTAGACACACACGAGAATTCCGAGAGGCCTGGTCTGCCACCCATAATGCAAGCAATAAAGATGTGGAATTAGACCCCATATACAAACCCTTGCAAAAAAGAACTAGAAATGACACAAAACACCTCAACACACCGGATCATATAAATACTAAGCGGAGTAGAACAGCATTGCTTCATCGGAGGCCGCGCTGATGATGTTACCTAGCATGGTGACGAAGTGTCTGAACTATAACCAGCCAGCTCGACGAGCGAATCAATAACGTCAAATAACTTGGCTCAAAGTCACGGCTCAAGCCCATCACAGGGATGTCATCAAAGGACACCAGACGTGATGATGGCAAGATACTTAATGATGTCACAAGTGGAGTTAAGGTCAGTACAGCCAGTCCTTTTGTGATCTCTTGCATCTTCTCACACTCAATCTCCTCTGGCATTTATAGCAGTGACCACGCCTGCACATCCAGCTTCAAAACTAAGGCACCTCCTCTTATTCTCAAACATCAATCTGAGTCTCACTGCCAGCTCATGGACTCCACGCACAAGCCTCACGCATGTGTCCTTCCTTCTAGGTGTTTATTCATGATGCTGTTATTCTTTGACAGGAGCAGACAGTGCACAACAGAAGGTAAAGAAACACACACAGTGGCAGAATACCTGTCATTGTGGCTCCCACCCAGGTAGAGCAGGAGGCAATGCAAATGTGTGGCACAGCAGGAGCTGGCAGTTTGGAAGATGGTGAGGCTGTCAACTCCTCTGAGCAGTGACAGCTTCATATTTCAGTCTTTTCATGAACCCCCAAGTGAATAGTTTCAGCCAACCGCAAAAGCTGAGCCGACATGGTCCAGCTTTGCATCCCCAGCCTCTCAATGCCATCCTAATGCTGTCATGCTCTTTTTTCCTTTAGGTTCTTTTCATCAGCAAGAACCTCATCAGCAACTTGTCAAACTGGAGAGCTGAAAGCTCAAGGCATCTGTTGAGGAATCACCGACATGCACTACATACCTCTAAGGCACCAGCACAGAGATTGGCACCATAAGGGGGATGAGGGAGGGAAGGCAGGCTTAGAGGGTTAGTGAATTGCACAGCACAAATAAGGAGGAATAGCTATGGCATGCTCCAGGCTAGCACACTGGTGCCAAGAGTACATGGAAGCCAACCTGTCCTTGTTGTTTTATCATCAGTGGTCAGCAATTGTGGCCACAGAGGCAGCTAAAGGTCAATTCACCACAGTGCCAGAGATCCATAGGGGTGCCCTCTCATTGGAGAGAGATGGATGGTGGTGACGAGGTGAAGATAGGACCTTCACGGTAAACTCAGTCGATGTGGGAATTGAACCCATGTTGTTGGCATCACTCTGCTTCACAAACCTGCCAAACTAGCCGGTGCTTGGAAGAACAAGGATCAGCTGGCACGGACTTGGGCCTAGGCAGTAGGGTTGAGTCCAGGAATGGCAGTGGGAGAAGGTGAGTGGTGTCTGGGAGCAACTCGGGAAGTTAATGTGGGACCGGATGCACCTGCTGTATCTAAAATAAGCAAGCTTAAAAAAATTAAAACTCACCTTTCAGTTCCAGTGGCCACTTTAATGAATGCTGGCTTGTCAGAGATTCCTGACTGCAATAACAAATCAATGACTAATGCACTTTACAAAGGAGGCCTGAAACAGATGATGGATGTTTGATTTACATCTGTAAAGGGCCTGACATCCGTAACAGGTGTCGGCTCTGGATGGTACACACAAACTTTTGCCTATATCCTGGCACTTATGGTGCAGAATGTGCATTTGCATGTCGCCATCATACTGGAGAGTGAGGTTGTTGATTTGCTGTCTGTGGTACCAACTCACTTCAAGGCCTGGCTCTCCAGACTTAAGCATGAAGAATGGCCAATTAATTGAAGTATCGGGGGAGCTGCAGAATTATATTCTATTGGCGTCAGAGAGGGTTACCATGAAAAGAGAAAAATAAAGAAAATAAATAATTAATGGCTATAAATAGGTTACTTAATGGGGCCATTTAAATATGGCCGACACAACTCACAAGGAAGAGATTGTGAGATTGCATTGGCCTCATTTTTGGGATTAACAGCTTCATGCCCAGCTCTCATCCTGTGAAGAATTCCTCGTGTAAGTGATGTGTTTGCTTTTTGTTCGAAGTTGTGTTATAACGATGCTTTATTTTGTCTCCTAGGTTGTCCATTGTTGACAACTGCTGGCCTCTCAGGCTTAATTCAGTTGCAAGACTTGGAGGAGCTGGAACTCACCAACTGCCCTGGGGCTACGCCTGAGCTCTTCAAATATTACTCACAGCATCTACCCCGCTGTATGGTGATTGAATAAGGACAGCAGGGATTGGCTGTTTTCACACAAGTACCACCCCCAGCCAAACCCAGCACTGATGACCAATCAGAGTGAAGCTTGGAGACGAATCTGCGTCGGCTCAAATGATCGGAATAATGTTTTTCGTGGCGTCAGGAATGAGAAAGAAACTGTGAATATTAACAAATTGAAATTCTTTTTGCTTTGGTGTGCACCAGAGTCATCCCATTCTCTGTCTGGATGTGTGAATTCCACAATCATTCCTGCTCATCACACTGCTCTTTTTAACTAAACGTGGAGTGGTTGTGACCAGGCTTGTTCTGAGCATGTGCAGCGTTCGCGGGTAGCCGCTGTCACATGCTGCTGCTGTAACTCTTGTTGTTTCAGTGCTGGATCTCTGTAATGTGTCTTAACGTCTGTGTAGATTTCCGTTTGCTGAAGTGTTTCCCACTGCGGATGTGAGGCTGTAACTCTCTTGTTAGGAGCGAGTTGTGATGACCATCCCTCGTACCAGAGGATGGATCTCTTTTGGAGGTGCTTGCCAACTCATTCTGTTGACTCTATCTGACTAACAAAGGAAACATGTCTCCACCAGCCCTCACATCAGCAGATAATTCTCTTTTTAACTTAGTATTCTCCTTTTCAGTTACTAAGGCTGGCTGGTTCACCGCTGAAATCTATAAGAAGAAGAAAGTGGGGGAGCTGGATTGGGATTTAGATGATTGAGTGCAATGGGTGCCATTTTTCCATCCAGGTCAAAGGACAAATGGGGAGAAGGTCAGCATCAGCGATGGCCCATTTCATTCCTTAAGACTTCAGAGATGGGCTGATCTGGACTGTTTTGATACCTGCAAGAGTTTGTTTTCATAGAGACCAAAAGAAGCCCACTCTGATTCTGTGCCTCCTGTGAGAGCAGGATGCCTCTGGGACTTTCTTACTGTGTATATTTTTCTGTCTGTTTGGATACTCTTTAAAAAAAAGTTATAGCTTATATTTGCTAAGTGTTTTCCTGTGCTGTTGCCCACTGGCTCGCCTGTGATTTATATACTGCATCGCTTTAAACGAAAAGGTACAGGAAGAGATTGAGACAATGAAAGTGAAGAGGAAGGTGTGCACTCCATATGCCACTTGTAAAAGCATCAAGTTCTTCTACCACACCCCCTTCACCCCCACCTTCCCCACCAAACAACGAAATTTTACAAAATCATTCAAAGCAGAAGCTGAATATTATTTCTAACATTGCTTTCCGCTGGATTGTGATGCCTTTGTTGTGTACAGTGTGATGCTTCCATGCTGCAGTATCCTTTCGGAAAGTCAGTACACTGTCAGTACAAATATTCTTAAAATAAATATTCCAAACAAAACACCAAGGCCTGGCTAACATTATTGAAAGTGCTTGCCAAACAAATACATTGAAGACCATTCCAAACTAAATGCGCCTGTTTACCCACTGCCAGTTTAAACCCAAACACTCGCTTGCTAAAACCCAAATACTTACTAAAGCAAATGCCATTTCAATGTTATTCCTGGCTGCAAAGCTGCTATTATCATAATGATCAAATCTTCATATCCAAGCAAATGATTTCTCATTTCTGTGTTCAGCTACAGATGTTGCATTGCATTTTCCTTTGAATTTATTTTAACTCCTACATTGATGCAAGAATAAAAGAACATTAGTATTGGACTTCTCACATTTATTCATTGCTTGAAGAGGGCAGCAGATACTATCAGTCAAGAGGAGCCCACATTGATTGTCATCTATCTGAAGTGTCCTAGGCCCAACCATCTTTAGCTACCTCATTTATGACCTTCCTTCTTTCACAAGATCACATTGGGAGATGTTCACCGATGATTGTACAACGTTCAGCACCATTTGAGACTCTTCAGATTCGGAAGCATTCCATGTCCAAATACAGCAAGATGTGGACACTATCCAGGCTCAGACTGAAAAGTGGTAAGTAACATTCATGCCACACAAATGCCAGGCAATGACCGTCTCCAATAAGAGAGAATCTAACCACTGCCTCTTGACATTCAATTGCATTATCATTACTGAATACCCCACAACCAACATCCTCGGGGCTTACTGTTGCCCAGAAACTGAATTAGACTAGCCATATAAATACTATAGCTACAAGAGCAGGTCAGAGGCTTGGAATACTGCAGCAAGTAACTCATCTCCTGACTCTCCAAAGCCTGTCCACCATCTACGAGGCACAAGTCAGGAGTGTGATGGAATACTCCCCACTTGCCTGGATGGGTGCAGCTCCAAAAATGCTTAAGAAACTTGAAACCATCCAGGACAAAGCAGCCCAATTGAATTGGCACCACATCGACAAACATCCACTCCCTCCACCACTAACACTCAGTAGCTGTAGTGTGTACCTTTTACAAGATGCACTGCAGAAATCCATCAAGCCTCCTTAGACACAACCTAGCCAGTGATGCTGAAATCCCATGAATGACCATATGAAAAAAAGACAAGGGGTCATCATCACCTGCAAGTTCCCCATCAAGCAACTCACCATCCTCACTTGGAAATATATTGCCATTCCTTCAGTGTCAATGTGTCAAAATCCTAGAATTCCTTAATGACATTGTGGGTCAACCTACAACACATCGACTGCAGCGGTTCAAGGGAGTAACTGACCACCACCTTCTCAAGGGGAACTGGGGATGAGTAATAAATATTTGCCAGCCAGTGACACCCATGTCTTGAGGGTGAATTAAAAACACTGCAGAGACCCAAAAGGCACTTAGGGTGGGTGGGCAGAGGAATTTTGTTGGTGAGGTAAAAGTATCGCTAAAATGAGAAATACATTTGAATATTGTATGCCTTTGATTTCCCTGGAAAAGTTAGGAAAGGAAGGTTTTCGTCTCCATAACTTTCTAGTCAAACTTTTAATCTTTGTCAGGGTTGGCTCAATCATTGGTTTTAAATCCAAGTATTACTCCTCAGACTTGAGCCCATTATCTAGATGTAGTGATTGGTAAGAGGTGGACCTCATTGACTATGAGATTGGGTTTGTTAACCCAGGCCAATCACAAATCCCTGGCCAACAAATAAAAACAGGGCATTTAGAATCTCCTCAGTTGAGGGGATGGACTCTGAGTTGGCTGGCCACATCCAGTGTACTGTGCACAAGTAAATAAAGGGGAACTTGGTGATGGGATACTGGTCTCTGTGCAGTTATTTCATGAGACTAGCTCTTCAATGCGGCACTGGATCTTATCAGATCCTGTCTGTCCTCTCAGGTGGCTATCAACAACCCTGTGACACTATTTGAAGAGCTACTGCAATTTCTCCAATGTTGAAACTAACCCAAAAAAGTTTCCTTCTGCAGGGCATAAAAAGATAAAACATTAACTTATTTCAGAGCAAAGCTAAAGAATGAGGAATAGTAAAAACAGGCAATCAGCCCAGACCAGTGCAGGTTAAAATAATTATATACTTTTCAGTTAAAGTAGAAGAGGAACAGCAGAGAAAATTGTTTAGAAATATGATGCATAGATAAAGCTAGTGTTTGTAAATTTGATGCCGGAATAGAGCAAAAGGTATGGCTGAAAGATTTGGAAGAAAATGTGGCATGATTTTAGTAAGTAATTCTCCTACATTGAAATACATTAGTGCAGCAAGTAATAAACTGATCAAAGAAACCTAGACAAGAATATGTTATTATTATGAGCTTGTACGCACAAAATGATTTCAATTTGGATAAGTTCTGGCTAAGATGTAAAATTGCAATGGTAGTGAAGCTAGTGGATATGATAGTCCAGGGAGAAAAGTCCAGATCAGGAGAACTAGGAGCAAACTTGAATAGCTGGATGTCCTTTAGTTAGTCCTTATGTGTGTTGCTCTGCAGAAATTGTTTGAATATAAATGAGGAGATAATATTACAACAACAGAAAGTCCTACCTTTCACTGAAAGCAAGTAAGCTAAGTGTGCTTTGCTACAACCCTCTGAAGAAATCCCAGTGATTTTGCACCATGTTTGAGGCATTTTTTAGAACACTGAATGAAACTCTGGCGTATTAAAGTGAAAAGCATTTTGGAATATTCCGGATTGTTATTCTGCAATAAACCAGATAAATGTTAATAAAAAAAAGTTTAAAAATATCCTCAATATCATGTAAACCTCTCTTTTTTTCTTTCCTTTCATGAAGTTAAACACTCACAAGTGATAGAAAATGTAAACTTTATTACCAACTGAATTGGATAAAGTATCAAGTATGTAAATGGAATAAAGAACAATAAAAGTAGTTGCAACTGTTTTAAAGGCAATAACACTTTCATAGGATTTGATGGCATTCATAGATCTACAACTTTCACCGATAGTTTCTGGCATTATTAAAACCCTTGAAGTATAATTCAGACTCCATTTACATCCCCAGTGTCTAATTATGCATATAATGTATTCAAGCAATGACATTCCCTTGTATCATTCAGACAAAAAAATCCCTGTTTCACTATGTTGTCAAGTTACATGACTCAGTCTGCACATTAATAACACGCCTAGTACGATTTTATTGCATATGGTTTAACTATTCGTGGTCAGAAGTCACACGAGACCAGGTTATAGTCCAACGGGTTTATTTAAAATCACAAGTTTTTGGAGCGCTGCTGATGAAGGAGCAGCTCTCAGAAAGCTTGTGATTTTAAATAAACCTGTTGGACTCTAACCTGGTCTCGTGTGACTTCTGACTCTGTCCACCCCAGTCCAACACCGGCACCTCCACATCTTAACTATGCATGGGCAATGTGAGTTAGAGCATGTCACTGATGTTTAGTGCAGTTCCATTCTAATCTGCAAAAGGTGGGAAAATGGAGACTGCAATACAAGAGTGATAATAGAGGGTTGAGAATAGAACACAATGAAGTCAGCAAGGGGCAAGGAACAGAAACAGTGACGTAGATTTCAATTTCCGCTTCACAGTCAGTGGGGATTGAGGAAGGTGGGAAGGCCTAGGAATGACAATTCCCAGCCCTGCGAAACTAAATTGAGAGGAACCACCCAGGATAATTGTACAAAGGACAGATGCAGAAGTGGGCTACTTGCGAGGCCCACCTCTGTGCTTTGGCACTTTGTCAAAGCTGGGGTCAAAAGAATAAAACAAAAAGTACATCTCCAGTCCTCACCCTTCACTGCCTTACAAATTCTCAATGCCCCATCCCTGGAAACCAATGCCATCTCACATCCCCATGGACCCTCACAATCTCCATGTTAACCGATGACCCTCTATCCATCCCATGTAACTCTTTATACCATCTATGACAAATTAATGCCAACACATGCCCCCATCTATCACCCTTCACCATTAACCTCCATGCCAACTCATCCAGTAGCCACCATGTGCAGATTCTAAGACCTGTGCTGGAAGTAAATGGAGTTTTCAGATGTCTATTGGCAAACATACTATTTTTAAAAAGCTTATTCACCAGATGCAACTTCCTTTAGTCCCTTGTGAAAGCAAGAATTTGATTTCACAGAACCATTTCAAAGACTTTAAATGCAATTAAATCTGTCAAACAAACTGAACTGTCAGGCAACCACTGTGATAATGTGTGAAATTAGTCATGGTGTACTAACCATACAATGATAATCCTCACAGTTTATATAGAGTGAAATAGCAAACATTAATTTTCTTAATGCTACAAGCTTTTTTTCAAATTTTTAAAATACAAAATGTAACTGCGTGACAGTTCCTTCTGATAGCTCCCTTTGGCAGCTTCCTTGACAGTTCTCTTTGACCGTTGCATTGAGTTAATGCATTCCTTATGCATGTTCGTGTCCGCTTTTAACAGTCCCAAGAGGCACATCATCTTTCCCAAAGGGGATTTCACCTCTCCCAAATTTGTCTCAGGACAATATCGAAAAAGGTGCTTTACCTCTTCAATGGGGTATCTGCCCAATTAGTTCTCTTACCAGATTTAAAATCCACATGTTGTCTTTTGGATATGCCACGAATGAAAACTGGATCTGACTGAAATCAAATGCAGTTCGTCAAGTGCAGTTGCCTCAGTGGACCACTGATAGAACATAGACAGTACAGTTCAGAAACGGGCCTTTCAAGTTGTGCTGAATATGACACTGAGTTAAACTAATCCCTTCTGCCTGCCCAAGGCCCATATCCCTCTATGTCTTGCTTATTCATCTGCTTATCTAAAAGTCCCTTAAACATCCCTAACATATCTGTCTCCACCACTATCCCCAGCAGCGAGTTCCAGGTACCTACCACTCTCTGTACAAAAAACTTGCCCCTCACATCTTCTTTGAACTTACCCCCTCTTGCC